CAAACACACACACACACACACACACACACACACACTCTCTCTCACTCTCTCACTCTCTCTCTCTCTCTCTCTGAGCTCTTCCCAGTCGTTTGCACCCATGGGGACAAAAGCCTAATGTGGAGAGACAGAAAGGAGGGATGATAACCCTCATGGGGGGAAACTCAAGATTTTTGGGGGTGTTGGAAAGGCTCATGGAGGGGATTAGCGTGGGTACATGTGTGTGTGTGTGTGTGTAAGCTTGCATACATGCAGGTGTGTGACTAAATCTGTGTTTGTATGAGTACGCTTGTGTTCAGACGATCCTTGCGTTCACACTCGTCTGAACACCCTCCAGCAGCCGTGGATTGCGATGGGCTGATGTCAGGATTCTCAGGGAGGGGTTGTTTCACGCTCCACGTCTGGACGAAGGCGGATTAATTTTTGCTTTTTTTATTTGGGAGGAAGCAGTCGACAAGGGAGAGGGGGGTTGGTTAGGGGATTAAAAAGAGGTGAATTTTAAACTGAGACTTGTTTACAGAGTCACAGGCTATGTTGCCACAGGGAGACAGATATACTCCACCTGTACACTGGGAAGAGATTAGGAAGGCATCCACAAATAAGCGGAGAGGGGAAAGGATTGGTAAAGAGAAGGAGAGGATGTTTGCAGGGTGTCTTGGGATGTCTCTCCGTGTGGGAAGAGAGGAAACGCAAAGTTGTGCAGTGGATTGGCCACTCTGTCACAATTACTTCTGAAGTGACAGCATACATACAAACATGTTGTGCCAACACACACACAAACACACTGCTTTTCCTTTGTGTCAGTATTGGATAGCATGCACAGCCTTTAGACAAACACAATAATGGGTTATCGTCATTTATCCCTTGGGCAAACTGGACATCAGAGTGTGTTAGTGTGTGTTTTCATGCAGGTAATCACACACACACACACACACAGAGAGAGAGATAGCCAGTTGGAAGGGGGCTGCTGATTGGCCAGTGTTGATTCAGGGGAAGATCACACACCAATCATTACCAGTGGATTCTCCTTCTAATTTGGCTGCCCTTGCCTTTTGATTAAATATTTTCCTCATATCATCGACACATCAGGGCAATTGCGTGTCTGCTTGTGCATGTATTTCACATTCTTACAATTCTATGGATAAACTCTGACCTATTAGAATATATAAAGATAACCACAGACTGATATACATGTGTGGACCATGGTGTTCAACAGCTTTAAATCTCTGCTTTGCATAAAAAATATCGAATAAAACATGGAGGGATGAGAGGCCAGGACAGAGCAATGTAAAGCTATCTTCAAATCATATTTGATACTCTTGAGTGACATTAGGATTTTAAGTAGTTTTTGCATTTCTTGTATATAAGCTTTGTCAGTCACAATTCAACTTCTAAGTGGCCATTTATTTCAAGCCAACTGGTGTTTGCTGCAGGTATGAGAATGTGAAAGGAAAGTAAAATAGGCAGTGTAAAGGAAAGGGGGCATGAAAGGAGGCGTGGATGAATGGAGTGCTAGATTGGAAAATGAAGGAAGAGAAGGAGGGAGAGTTACGGCGGCTCAGGGCGCTGGCTCAGGATAGACTGTTTAATGCACAGTCCATATAGCCTCTTTATCTCCTGCTACCAGTCCGCCTCTTTCTCACTCCCTCATCCGTATGCAGGTCAGCTGCGAGCAAGTGAGGGGTGAAAAAAGGCGATAGAAAAAGCGACTGCGGCGGCGAGCGGAGAGAGATAGAGCATCCTCCACTCTTCTGCCAATCAGTCTCCTCCGTCAAGCATTGCGGCGCAGTGTGCTGCTTGCCGCACGGCGTGCAGGGGCCCCTCCATTTAACTTGGCTATGTAAAAAGGTTTTCTCAGAGGCCTAAAGGAGGCGAGTGCCAGGGACTAGATAAGGTCCCCCGTCTGCCTGATGGGCCCTGCCGGACGCAGGGAGAGACGGGGAGAGGCGTGGAGGGGGAGTCAAGTCCCACAGACTGTCTACTGAATACTGGAGGGAGATCTGCGGTTGTGAGGAGAAACACAGGATAGGCA